TGCTTCAACTAGCACTAGCAAAACTTACAAACATAGAACCATTTTTTAATGCAAAACAACAATATCCAGAAGCACGAACCAGTACCCACACGTTCGCAACATCATGCAGAGGTAAAACCCATCTGTATTGTCATCCACATTTATCTCTGGCACCTCTTTTTACACTGATCCTAAGCACCTAACACATTATTGACTCGTCTAATTTTGTCTAGAGGAGAGGGACCGTGTCGAGGGTGGATTACGGTCATCTTCTCGACACGTGAGTTTGTTTCATTAAACATCTGACTTATTCTATATCATATTTGTGGATCGACAGGCACTTAGGAGATGGAGGCATAGATGGAAGATAACAGGGATGGAAACACAGTTGGCTTACCAACAAGTAGCAAAATGCCTCGAAATTGGGTTACTATGCCAGGAAATTGAACCATCCAAACGGCCTTATATATGTCAAATGATACATGATATAAGAGAAATTGATGGTCCTAATGAAAAAACCAGCAATGCATCTGAACATACATTTGACAAGGTAAGCTCGTATGCTCCCAAGGCCTTATTCTTAACTTTGAACTACTTACCTTCTTTCTTTCTTTCTTTGTCTTGTAACACACACACACATATAATATGCACTCCTACTCTTTATTGCAGATAAGCCCTTACACGGAAGATGATATGCTTGGAATTGAGCCACTCAAACTACATTTTCCTTTTGAGCTTAACAAACAGATGTCTTGTGCACTTTGGCTAACCAATGAGACAGACTCTTACATTGCCTTCAAAGTAGAGAAAACGAGCCCCCTGTCATACTGCACACAGCCGCAAATAGGGATTATGCCGCCACAATCAAAGTGTAATGTTGACATAACATTGCAGCTGCAGGGCAAGGCACCAGGATATATGCATCGTGCCAATGAACTTACTGTATGGAGCACCAAAGTGAATGATTGCCTTACAGTTGAGGATATAACTACAAACATGTTCATTAATGAGGCGGTCAACGTGGTTGATGAGGTGAGTTTGGATGTGGGTTTTGACGCCATTGAGCTAGAAGAAGCAAGTAAGAAATCCAATGAGGTGAGTTGTCTAAGAATACTAACTTGCAAAGCTGTGTCTATTCAATTAGTATCCAGTTCAAATGATCTTTTATTTTAGTGAGAGTGCCAAATTTATAAACACTCAAATCAAAATATATTTACTTACTATTTGTACTAAAAGCTGGGGAGAGATCGCTTTCTTCAACTAATAAAATACGTCCAAAACAAATTGATTTTAAATTTATTTTAATACTACAATATAATCAGTAGATTAGATTGGCTTGCACATCTATTATTTTTTGTTTTCATGATGTATTAATTCGATATTAGAACAATATTGTTGACAACTCGGAATTTTGTTTGTTGACAAGCCTCGCCAGTTTTGTGTGTGTGTGTGCGCGCGCGCATCTGCAGATGATACAACCACCGAGACAGAGTTGAGATCACTAAACTAAGAAAGAAAACTTATTTGCAAAAGCTATTTCTAGTTAATTATCGGTTAGTACAAATGAAACTTGTGTGCAAGGAATAATGGTGCAAGTATGAGTGACAATATGACTTAACTCTAACTAAGACAAATGTCAGATTGGGCAGTGATGGTATTTGAGGTCTGATATTTTGAGTAAAGTAATTTCTCACTCGGCAAGGCATGCAATTATGGTTGCACATGGGATGCATAGGGTGGGGCGCCAAACAAATCAGAACCTCTAGTTTCGTGTGCAACTGTGGTTGCACTTGTGGCGCGGAGGGTGGGGGCGCCGTGCAAAAATATAAAAAGGGTAAAATAGAGGGAAAATCGTGTGCAACTCTAAGAGCAATTATAATAAGGTACAGTCAGCAGGCTGTAAGGATTACAACATTATATGTTTGTTGAGTTGGATGAGAGAGAAAAGGAGAGAGAAGAAAAGTGGGTTGTAGATTAACAGCCGGCTGCAGCACGTGCTCCAAGAAACAATGTGAGAGTGTAAAGTGGGTCATCTATTAATGAAGTAGTACTACTTAGTACTACCTCCGTCCTGGTTTATTAGTCCGCATTGAATTTGTGTCAAAGTTTGACCAAATAATGAACTAACGAAATGTTAATGCATGTCAACAAAATGTATATCATTGGATTCGTATTTGACATAGTTTTCATTGATATAATTTTTTATGACATGCATAAACATTTTGTTAGTTAGTTTTATGATTAAAATTTGCCACGGAATACAATGGGGACCAATAAACCAAGACGATGGTAGTAACTAGCTATTATACATGTTGGCTATTAAGTTGGCTATAGATGACGTGGCAATCTCATATAGCCAATTGTTGTCTATACTATTAACCATGCTCTAACTACACCGTGTAAAAATAAAAGTAAAATACTTTCTTTATATTTAGATTTTTTAGATACGGGTATATATATCTCACACTAAATTGTCTCTAGATACATTCATATCTAGATAAATCTGAGTACGGAATAATAGTAGTATACAAAACAAAACAAAAAAGTTCATGTGGAACTCGTTGCGTGTTGGGTGTCGTGGTGGCCGTCATCCAAGAATAAAATAAGAAAGAGAAAGAAGCTAGGTAAAAAATAAAAAAGAAATCCAGTGCAAAAGTAAAATTGAAAAGAGAAGAAAATGTTTTTGAACACAATACAGACATAATAAAAGAAGACGAGGCGCCTATGATAACTTTAAAAAGAGAACAGAATGTTAGTAGATATTAAGCCGGGTGCAAGTCAAGTTGTGCGTGCTACTTTAGGTGCACGTCGGGTCCAGGGTTGGGCATTGTGTAAGAAAAAACAAAAAGATATGTAAAATAAAAGAGCAGTGTGCAACATTTTTGGTCAACACAGCACAAACGTAAATAATCCAAATACGCATATAAACTTACTTCTATGAACGCACAGACGCACACCCTACTCCTATCAATACCTCCAAGAAACTAAGCCGGCACAAGTTCTTGAGATTTACGAAGTACCGACAGACGTCTTTATAGCCGACGGGGACATCTCCTCCCACTGAAAACACATCACCAAAAGTCTTAAAATAAATGCAGAAAAATATGAGCACCATTATCAAAACTAGAGACGAATTACTAGAGTTGATT